CCATTAGTGGACTTCTCTAGCAGCACTCGGCCTGTGGTCTACAGGAACAATCATTCCCAAATGGCTGCATTCAAACTTCCTGTTAAGACGCTTTTGCCATCGAAGGTTGTTGAGGAAACACTCCAGAAATCCAGCTCCATTCAAAAAGTGGAAAAACGGAAAAGTAAAACAATCTACAACAAGTAAAGCAAATGCTAATGGTTGCAGAACCACCAAGAGAAGCATGGAGCTGTAACAATTCTAAATAAAATGATACAGAATTTGGTCAGAAAGGTTTCTAACAAGTAGAGCTGGTATTAAGATAGTTCAGCAATGACAGCTTGTGTGATAATAAACTTACATTATAGCTATTTATATTTCTTAGTATGAATGATTGAAAAAAGCTTGAGCTAATTGCCACAAGCATGTTAAAACCAGTGCCGTGCCTGCAGATAACTCAGGCTTAAAAATAACTGGTTTCCATTTTGAGCGTTTCTTCTCAGCTTCACTAGGCACTCAGATCTCCATGGTTACCTTAGGATCCAGATCCGGTGCTTGCTTCTGAAAGAGCATTTCCTCACTGTGTTTTCAGGCAGGCTCTTCACCAGCGACATAGAAGAGGAGATGTTCACCGTAAACATCTTGGCTCAGCTCAACATGACTCTAGGACCCCTCTTTCTGTCTGACCCTCCTCACAGAGGTGGTCTGCACTTTTAAATTCTTGTCTTCAGGGGCTTGTGCTCCCTATCTTAGCCCATGTGTGGCGTGATGAGAAACAGCTCCTCATCAGGCTGTGACAATAGTTCTCCCTATCACCAGCGAGCCAACAACTTAACTCTAACGCTCCCAGATGTAAGAATCATAACAATCACATCTGGATTTATCGTGGCTCGGATGTGTTGAATTTAGTCAGAGCTGATCTCCGTTCAGGCTCTGCTGTCATGCCGCTGCAGCTTTAGTTTGATTGTTTTTAACACGACAGAGCAGCAGTCCCATCTGTCAGCCTGGACCTCTGGAGACCAAGCAGATAAATTCCCAGAAGCTTCTTTGTTAATTTGTAGAAGTGTAAACAGACTCATGGATGGCCTTTCATGACTTCCAGGCCTTTGATTTATCGACCTCATAATCAATGACCTGGCTGCACATTGGACAACAAGCTAGATTTCCAAACAGGAAGATAAAGTGGAATATTTCAAGAGATAAGGTCTTCTTATCCTCCAGCCGAGACTTTAAAGGAGCAGGATGTGTGTGTTTTTAAGTGCGTTTACCTATAAGAAGTGACTCTCCTGGCCGTTTTCGTGGAAAAAGGCAGTGAATTCCAACGGTTTTTAATGCAGGGATAAAGCTTCCGCTCTCTATCCTAAGACCTGCTTCCCCTCCCCTCCTTGCCATCCATGCCAGGAATGTAAACAGTTATAGAGCAGTGAAAAAAGCCCCCCCCCCCCCCCATCTCTTTATCTCCGCTCTGTGCTTCAGTGTGCTGGCTGAGGCCGTCACAGCTCAATCCCAGAGCTGTGAATGGATATCTGGGCTGCAAGGTTCAGTGGGTCGTGCTGCTCTGGGCACAGCACAGTAATTGGCTCCGCTTGGCTGATTAATGGTGGACACTGCAGATGGACACCATTTTACACATCCAGACACTTACTATGGTGAAGCTTCATCTTTTCCTATCCACAAATAGGTTATATAAGCTTCTATAGAGATAAATATATATGCTGCACCCTGCCTCTCTTTTCACTGCTTTGATTCCACCCAAAGATTTTCTGTGGCTGATCTTTTCCTCTAATTTGACTGGTGCACATTTATTCCCCAAAAAGGTGGCAGTTTAAACTTCACGCCTCAATCTGTGACTCAGAGTTTAAAATAAAAGAATGATGTGTGGTCAGCGGAGTCCGCTGTCACTGGTTTTATTCTAGACTCCTCTTTGTGCGTTAGCCTTTAAAACTGCCAACCAAAGGTCAGAGCGCTACAGACGGCTGGACTCTTGCATTCGTCAGTTAAAGATTTAGTTTGTTTCAAGTGGAGATGGAGTTACTGATTAGCTCAGCCACAGCTGCAAGAGGTGTCAGGCTGAAGAGTTCACACCAAAGTTTCATGTGGGAACACAAACAGGATCCGTTGCTACGTATTTCTTTCCTAAACAAAGTAAATCCATTTTTAAAAGTTTTTAAAAAACGTATTTAGTACGACTGCTACTCCACTTGTCCTTGGTGCACATTAACAAAGCTCAGGGAACATGACTGTGTTTGTTTCTGAATCTAATTTTCCATTCTATTTTGAAGGTCTTGCTCTCTTTTATGCTAATCTTGGTTTCATTTTAAGAGCCGTCTTTGTGACAGTAAATGAACTGAGCACAGAACAGAAGCTTCTCCTTGATGACGCTGCCAGATAAGAATCCAAGCAGCTGAAGTTTCCAAAACAGAACACTGTACAGAGTCTGATAGCGCTAACGGACAGGAGCTGCTTGTTTTAGGGATCCTGTGCACCGTCACCCCTGGACATAGATGCGTGATTACACCAAAAGCATTTTAAACACAGGCTTTATCTCTCATCGAGTCAGACATGAACATCGAGTCAGACATGAACAGGAACAAGGAAGGGAGGATAATATCAGATGGACAAAGTGCAGAGGGAGGCCTGCATTGATTTGTTTTTCACAACCAGCCTACTACGCTCTACAGCACCCTGCTGAAACAGCATTATCCAAGTGAGGAAGGAATCTGGCCGTTAGCTTCATAGAGCTTAGATGCTCATCTGCTTGTCAGCCTTGATGTCCTCTGAGACAACGCCGCTCTTCTCTGATCACACAGCTGACCTGACATACATTGACACGCCGGGTGCAAACAGGTGCACGCGTGGTCACGACACGGAGGCGGTTTTCATTTGTCCAGCTGATTTAAGAGGTGTGTGGTGCGCGGGGGTGTTGGTGTGCATGGGTTTGTCACAGTGTCACAACTGTGCACTTCTAAAAGTGCATGTCGGTGTTTATGTTGATTTGTCAGCACACTGAGCAAATGTCTCTGTGTACAGTACACATGTGTGATTGGTGCTGGCAGCGCAGGTGATGAGAGGGGTAAGACCAGAGTGCATGGCCTGATTTTCCCAGCGTGCTGATGAATCATGACAGCTGCAGGATTGTCTTCGACTGCTGGTCTACCAGACTGTACCGGATCAGGGCCTTTTCTCCATGTTACTTTGTGACAACATGGAGGTGGTGTGTTTATATTTACACGGATCAGCTGGTGAGATGTTCCTGAAACGTTGGTGAAGGGTGGTCTCTCCTTTCATTTATACCGAGCTCTTTATTCTCACTCAGGAAAACGCTTATCGGAATCAGAGCGTGGCATATATGTTACACAATATAGGCTAAATTTAACACAAGCAATGGCTCACACAGAGACATCCAGGCATTCGTCCATGTGGTGATGCACAATGAACAAGACTGTGGGAAAAATAAATAAATTAAAAAAATCAAAATGCAGGGGGCCTTTTGCACATTTGACGATGCCAAACTGAAAATAACCCACAAGCTTCTGCCGTAAATATAATAACAGTAGTGAAACAGCCAGAGCTGAGCTATAGACTTGGTTTGTATCAATGCCTCCTGACAGATGGGACTGGGCAGCTTGTGAGAGCGTGAAGCCCTTTCTGCTGCTCTCCTGTGGTGGTGCAAGTGTAGCTCCATTTTACTGTTCGGATTACATAGATTTAATCATATTAGTAGAAAACCGATGGACAAAGAATATCCACACAGACTAACAGCAATAAATACTAATCAGGTCCTTTTACCATCATCTGATCTATGTTCATTTGTTGCTGCATATTTTATATTCTTTCATGTTTCTCGTACGCTCATGAAAGACTTCACAGCAGCAGCAAACGCTGCAGATATGGTTGGAACGTGTGCATGCATTCATTCGACATGATTTTCATGCCTAAATTAGGCCTTTGGTCATTGCTTTAAACAGTCCAGCGTAGGAGCAGGTCCTCAGAAGGTGTACAGATGTGAGAAAAAGGATAGTACGTATACACAATTTAAGAATATTCAGTTACAGTTTTATGGCTTGAGAGAGAATTATATTTGATGTTTAGCAGCAACTCGTCAAAGCACAGGCCAGCTCATCGATGGTACCAGCGTCTAAAGTCAGGTGAGTTTTACACTCTTTTGGTTTTGATGTTAAAACTGAATCTTGTGGATTCTTTGGGATATTTAAGTCCAGTAGAAACACAGTTAGGTGTTGTAAAAGTGGTACATCCAACATCAAGAACCATGTACACAAGGCACGGTGGTGGTGGCATCATGCTTTGGTACATGCTTTTCTGTATTGTAAAGAAAGGAAATAGGGGGAATTCTTCATCATAACAGACACTAAATATCTGTGGAATGAGGAGATTTTTGTCATCTTTGGAATTATGTTTTCAAATTCCTAAACTACAAGTTTTTTAAAACACAATTTTGATCGTTTTCCAACTCTATAGAGAAAATGAGACAATTATCTAATCCAAAATTGTCCTTGAGCTTCCAGATGGCCTTCTAAAGCCTTGAACCTCTAATGTACTATTATAAATATGTTTTGGTAAACTAATGTACTGGTGTCAGATTGCACTAGAAGAAGAAAAGTTCAAAGAAATGACAGAAAGTCCAATCTTGTCATCACAATCATGTCCATGAATGCACGTCAGTTTCTGAGGGGAACCTGAGGTCAAACGGTGAGTTTGTCACAGAACATGAAAGGCAAAACCACACCTTGTATCAGCAGAAAGCTGTCAGGTACACATGAGGTGGGGAAGCACATACATGCAAACACAAAGAGATCTAAAAGAGGAAATCACAAACGTCACCCTGCAACCCTCCCCTCTCATCCACTTGTAGATTTGAATCTATCTCTGTGTTTATTACACAGCTGTAGCGCCACATGTTGGTGGTTAGGTACGTTTTTGTCTGTCCTGTCAGAGGCCCGATCTACTGAGCTACAGAGAGGAGGGTTAGCTAAGCAAGGCAAGATGGACTAGGTTAGTACCTGCTAGAGAAGGGGAGTGGACCTTGGCACAAGGGAGCGGGGAAAGGAGAGAAGCCTCTGTAGAGGGCCTGGGGCGCCTTGCTATCCCCAGGTTTGTGGATGACACTGTAAATAGGTTCAGCCCTGCTGTGGGGTACAGGAATCACAGTGAACGGGACAAGTGTAGGACACAAAGAAAGCACACATACCAACAAAGAAGCAACAAATGCACACACAAGTCATGTAGACAGCTTGTACAAGGACATTACAGGGAAACATAGCAAACATTCATCCAGAACAACACTCACACACAAACATGTGCCAATATACATAAATTACTAAATGCACCTTTCTCTCCTCAGAGCTGTGGGTTAAGCTGGCTCAAAGCCTCGTGGGACCGTCCAATCAAGTCCCTATAAATGCTACTTTGGATCTACTTCTTGGACAGGAAGGTTAAAATAGTCTTTACAAGTACAAGAAGAGACGAGGAGCCTCTCTCAGGACACAGGCCACCACTCAAAGTCCAGCTACGATGTTGGACACACCACCACAACCCCGAATGAGCTGACACATACAAACTGTTTGTTTTCCTTCAAACACTCAATGAGAGTTTTAAAAAACTATTGTACAAGCATGTATCATCAAAATCGCCATGACGATACATATGAAACAGCAACGGGATGGAGCACACCGGCAACTAAAGAACACCCAGACACAATACAAATACTTTGAAGACATAGTTTAAACCCAGACAGGTTTCCTCAACAGCGAGGACCACAGCGGCAGACACACCTATGATTTGTTCAGACCTGCGTTCTTAAAGCAGCACGGCTGTGACTGGAGAGGGAAATGATCAGCCTGAGAGAGTTTGCTTTTAACCTACCTCGTGAAGTCTTCCTCCCCCATCATGTGGCGGGGAACAGGTGAGTACCTGGACGGGGTGACCTGAGGAGGTGGGTACACTGGCTTGGGCTCCATTGCTCCCACGTAATTGTGGCTGACATGGTTGTCCACCATGGTGGGGAAGGCTGGAGGGAGGGCCAGGCCAGTAGGGGGAAAGAAAACTTGATTAAAACACAGACAACAAAAAACAGAAACTGCAGAGGTCAGGTCCAGGGTATCTGCAGGTTTAAGAAAGTCCAATATAAAACCTTCTTTTAAGAAAACTTTGATCAAATGTAATGCCTTGCATTCTCCGAACAAAAAAGCAGTGAGACCACCTTACAAATTGTTCTGTCCAAGCCCTCATTGGAACAGAAAGGGCTAAAAATAACGTGAACGTCAAGATAAATGCGCTGCAGAGGATAAAAGTTTATTTTCCAGAAACAAAAATTGTTGTGCCACTAAACCTGCACTTTCCCATGGCTCACACGTCCATTAGCTAAGGTAGCTAACATGCATTTATTTGTAAAGGTGTGGATCACTCGTTTAATCAATACCTTTGCAGTGGTCTCTAGAAGGAATGAATGCCTTGCAGGCATAACTCAGGGCACAGAAAAGCCCACAAACCCCTAAGCAAGTCATGTCTGCAATATCACAGCTGAGCTTCAGATGACAGAATTCTTATTTCCCGATATTTGGACATCACGCCCCAGATTGGATAACAGCAACCCGACTCTACCACTGACTTGCAACATGGATGTTGTATCTCCACAAATAACACAAGCCTGAAGGAGTTCTGGCGTGAAAGTAAACTTGCTAATGCTAGCAGTTAGCTTAAATTAGCTGAGAAATACGCTGCTGATTCCTGGATGCTAAAATAACAGCCTTCATGTCGTGAGTCAAGATTGGTTAGTCCATGAATGTTAAGTGACAGTGTGATGCAACAATGTGAGGATTTTTAAATCCTAGCGTTCACTTTATTTCCTATCAGAAGCTAATACACAAGATAGGTGTAGAAGACTACTTTCATGTTCAGCCAGCATGAAAATCTGAATGTGACTGATTATAATTGGAAAAAATATTTTAAAAAATGAGTTTTCAGCCAACCACACCTTTAAGGCCATGCAAATACCAAGTCACAACATTTTTGGGATTTTGGCTGCTTTTACACTCGTGTGTCCAGTTTTTGATTTTGCTCAGTTTGTGCTTTAAAATGTGAAAAAAAGTAGAGAAGTGGAGAACAAAAGGACAAGTCTCAGTTCTATAATATTTATTAACAACAGAAAAGAGTATATAAAAGTTGTGTTATAAGAAATAGGAAAAAATTCTATTAAACACCTAAAATGGAACAAAAAAATAAAACATCTTCATTTACTGTTTGTCAAGTCTTCAACTAGTAGCACTTTATTAACAATCTGGTTTCTGTATGAAACTGATTTGATATTTTTTTCAGATTCAGATTAAAAAAAAAAAAGTTAATTTGTGTATTTTGACAGCATGAAGGTATAATGATGCAAATTAATGCAGTTCCCTTGCTAAGTTGTTTGCTGGTTGTCGAGACGACAACAGTACAACCTTAGGCTTAAGAGCCTTATGGTATCGGGACGACTCACAGGTCAGATAAGCAGTTTAAAAAAACCACATTCCTTTGAAAATGTTCGTATACGGGATAAAAACTGGTGAAAAAGCAGCAAAATGCTCAAAGAAAAACTGTTAAAAACTTTTGGAAAACCTGGAGAACTTTTAATCAAAACTAAACTTTAACAGACTCTGAATGCTTGAAAGCCAAATATAAAGGCGCACGCTGTGAATTTTTTGGGACGTTTTGTATAATTGCCATAAATAGCTATGGCTGTTCGTCACGGTCAGGCTGCATCAGGCTGGCTACTCTGTCACTGGAGGAAGACCTTACTATTGTGACAAGGAAGAAAACAAGTGAGTCTGGAGTTCATTCTGATTTTGTGTCACAAGATAATAACTGGTTTATGCACCACTTCAGGTCTCTACTGGCTGCTGTTCTGGAGCTGTATGAAAAACCGGGTACACTCTATAGACATGAAGTGATCTTTGGATCACAGGATGGCAGCAGCTTTACCGTTTTCCACTCAGCAACTTTTCATGATTCTAGGACTGAGGACAAACAAAACAGATTTCTTTTTCTACGTGAGTCTCTGTTTCACACATGGGGTGAAACAGCACTTCTTCGACACTATAAACATTTATTTGTTAAATCAATTATAGTTAATAAAAATAAAAACACCTGATTATAGGTCGAAAGCACAGCTAAAATGAGAAATCAGAATTGCTATAGGCTAATTGACATTTTAAAAAAGAAGCAAATGTACCGATCTGGCAAAAATAAACTCATTATTTCCTTCCTGTACACACACTGCTTTAGTCATATGCTTCCCCAGAGTTTTAAGCATCGAGTTCAATCACCTCTGTACTTGATGGAGGCAGTTGAGCCCAATAAAACAATGATTTCTATTACAGGTTGTGTGAGTCAGCGACAGGGTATGATGCTAAATTGGCACCAACTCTGCATTTGGGGCTTTTGTGAACCATCGCAACTGCAAACATTCGAAACACACAAAAAGCCCACAAACATGTTGAAATCACTGCTCAGTAAAAATCTGAGAAGCTGCAGCTCAAGACCGTGGGCTCTCATGAGCAGGTGGGATGTGAGAAACCAACCACTCTAAGTGGGTGGCAGAGAACTGTTCTTGTCGTTGCTGTGGAAAGAACTGTGTGTGTGTGTGTGTGTGTGTGTGTGTGTGTGTGTGTGTGTGTGTGTGTGTGTGTGTGTGTGTGTGTGTGCGTGCAAGTATTTACTACATTCGTATGTGGGTGTCTAGGCCTTTTTGCAAAGAGAACAGTGATCCAACACATAAAAAAATCTGAAAACATCTTTTATAAAGATGAAAAACACAAGTTCTATTGTGAAATATGCCATCATGGACCTCTTTTATTTTAGATGGAAAAGCTTTTTTTTGTTATTAGAGCTACAGGATGATTAGCATAATGTGACGAGGTAGATACGTACTGCTGGAGTAATCTGGAGGGGCGTACATGTCGTTCAGATGCACGGGTCCTGGCTTGGCCACCTTGAGATAAACCATATCAGAGGTGTTCTTCAGTGCAGCTACCGCCTCCTCATGACGCACATCCTGCAGCACGATGTTGTTCACCTGAATGTGTCAATTGTCAAAGGATGAGAGTAAGAGAAAAAAAGAGATAAAAATCCTTGTATCAACACCTTAAAGCTGTTTGTCTTTGCGGAGCTGTGACAACATCACTAAGTCCTCACACCAGCCAACACAATAATGATTCACAGCCTGAGAGATCAGTACATTTCATCAGCAGAGAACAAGACGAGTTTCCTCAATTACAGTAAAAAAGGTTAAAGATGACCTCGATTTCTCTCTTTTTTTTTTACTTATAATTTGTTTAAAATACATGTTTTGCAAATCTGACCTTTTGCCTCTTTCTGCCTCTATAAACACTAAAAAAGTAAAAAAAATAAAAATAAAATAAATAAATAAAGCCAGTCAATTTTCTGTCAATGTGTGGTTTTAGGAATTATGTCTAAAAAACAAAGCAGTTTCAAAAATTCCTCCTTTGTTTCGTAACAAACTGGGAATTTGCACATGCAACGCTATGAAGTGTTGGTAGGGCTGGGTACCCTTCTGCCACTGCAGAAGGGAGAGAGAAGTGGAATGGGGGCTGCTGCATGCTCTAGCTGCCCTGGTCTGAGATCGACGTGGCTTTTTAAAGGAGCGTTTAAATGCATGTGTGGGTGTATAAGACACAACTTAATTTATTTCTGAATTTTAAATCATCTGAAAGTGACACAGCACACAGTTGGTAGAGAAAACAGGAATGTGAAGTGTTCTCCCTCATTTTCATTGCGATAAACACCTAGCCAATGAGGGGATGGGTGGGCGTGGCCAGAAACAGCTTGTTTTCCACAAAGTGACAGAGCCCTGAAACGGCTCGTTCTGAGAATTTCAAAAACAGAGCAGAGATCACTTCATGAGAGAGGGATTTTGTGTGAAAATCTTTATAAAACATAAAAGCCTAATAAAACACCATAATATGTCCCTGTTAAAGTACGTCAGACAAAATATCTTAACCGCTTTAGACCTGATTAGCAAATATGTTCTTTACATTTTCTGTATATTTTTTTCTGCACAGCTTTTATTTTTAAATGAGTTTTGAGTCTGGGCTTTGACTGGGCCATTCCAGCATATTGCTCCATTTGTTTTTTCCTCATTCTTCTGTGAACGTCATCGTTTTGATGCACAAAGTTTATAGGAAGCTGAATGGCACCAAGGTGCCCAGGTCCTCTGCCACTGCTAAACAAGTCTGAATCATCACACCTCCACCACTGCAGTTGACAGCTGGTGTGTGAGGTGTTTCTGTTGGTATGCAGCGTTTGGTTTTCGACAAACATGACGCGGCACATTTGGGAAAAATAAACATCTCCATTTTGCCCTCATCTGATCCTGAAGTCTTGGGATGTGTTTAGCCCTCTGGAGGCAGGCGGTGCAGATTGGCAACAGTTAAAACCTACCTACCTGGTTACTCCACATATGTATTTCATGAGCATTTTTAACTCAGAAGTACCCCTGAAGGACTTGGTTGTTCGTCCTTTTATCAAAACTTATTTTGAGCCTGAGAGGGTTAAATGCCACTCTGCTGAAATGTACGAGGTGCTGTCCTGTTTTTCTCAAAGAATATGGGCCAAACCCAGTACATGATCTGCACGTGCTCAGACTTTTTTCTTATTTATTTTAATGAATCTGAACATTTACCTTAATGTATTTTTTACTTTCTTGTCATTTCTTTGATAGTTTACCTTTTGAATGTAGAATGATCAATACATACATCTTTAAAGCAGATAAATGGGCAGATAAAAAAAATATTGCTGATCTTCTTCCCTCGTGTCTGTGTTAACACACACCTGAATGCTTCACACCAGCTAACTGCCAAAACCTCTGCTTTTACGGAGGTGCTCACTTAATCAGTGCATTTTATTAGTAGCTCCTGACTGTTAATTACACTGTAAAACCTTATAAACCTGGACAGTTTTCACACCCTGCTTCAGTTTTTCGACTCATTTTTTGTTTAATGTAGCAATGTAACACGACACTGCTCATATACTCATCTAACACTGGATTAACTAGTAAAATATACTGAATAAACTTTGATTTTTAAATCATGCCTTTGTAAATAACACTAGATATTCAACATGAGTTTGGATAGACCTAGAAAAAGAAAAAACAATTTTTTTTTACTCTTGAGTAAATGAATGAATTTTGATTCAAATGGTAGATATGTGTGTATATCTGAGGAACTAAAGGCTCATACAGCTAACAGGCGGTCTCCAGTCTGCAGACGTCCATCTTTCTGGGCAGCTCCTCCTTCTATGATCTTTGTTATATAGATGCTATTATCTCCAGGAATATGCTGGTTCCCAATTCCTCCAGCGATACTGAAGCCCAGTCCTAAATGAGTAACAAACAGAAAGATCAGTCATTTTCAAGCATGAATACCTGAAAATAAACAATTTTCTCTGTAAGTTTTTTTTACCTTTGGGCCCTTTCAGCAAGTTGACCTCCAGAATTGTTTCAGGTGGGGCCTGCCTCCGTCGCACCAGCAGCCGCACCACGGGCCCCGCCTCCTTAAGGGCTTCTACAGCTCGGCTGTGAACCACCTCAGAAACGTCCACGTCATTCACACGCAGCACACAGTCATTAACCCTGTGGAAAGTTCAAATGTACGTCACAAACACAAACAAGGGTGACCCAAACGGGGCCCAGATCATCAGAAATCTCCTGAACAAATCACGCCTCAGTTTTGCGGTGAATCACAGCACAGAGCCGGGAGGCAGTGAGCTACACAAACTCTGCTCTCCTACACAGTACTGCCTGGCGGGACGCGGTGTTGGTAAGCGCTAAAGAGGAGAGCCACAGAGGCCAAAGTAGAGGGAGGATAGAGAGTGTAGCTGAGCTTGAAAAAAGCACAAAGGAGTGAACGAGGTGATGAGGAGGAGGGGAGCATGTTGCAATAGGTAAACTTACCCCAGCCGTCCATCCATGGCAGCTGCTCCTCCAGGGATTATCTTGGTGATGAAAATCCCTGGATCATCAGGAATGTGGGGATTGTCTATTCCTCCAGCAATGCTAAAGCCCAGGCCAGAGTTCCCCTGAACACAGATCGTGATTGGCATCAGAGTGCAACATATATTCACTTGTATGTGTGGGATGGATTAAACATGGACACAAAGTGCATCGTAGCATGTATGAAATGACAAAACAGTAAAAATATGTTTTGTCATTTTGCACCAAGATGGTTGCAAGATAACCCACTAGATGAGTCCTGGTTAGATATAGAAGAGACACTTTGCAATACGATAGAGATTTCAGACTTACCATTTATTAGCTCAAGCATAAGAAAACATGAAAGCTTCAAAAGTATTAATATCAGCACCTCTCTGATAGCATGGTGGGAGTATCTTAAAATGACAGAGTCTTCACTAGTACCATGCAAACGCACACCTATCTGGAATAATCCTGATATTTTGCAAAATAACAAAATAATGAACCTTCCGGACTGGAAAAATAAAGGAATCCTATACCTGGAACACATATATGAAGGATTGGACTTCATCCCATTTAATAGAATAGTCTCCCAATTTGGAATAGATAAGAATAGCTTTTTAGAATACCACCAAATTAAATCTGTAGTCAAATGAAAATTTAAGCTAAATAAAATAGAATTACAAACACCACCAAGGGTATTAGACTTCTATAATCTCAAGCCCCCCCCCCAACTACTGTCTAAAGTATATAAGACACTGTCCAAAATAGACGATAGAATAGCAATCCCTATTGAAAAATGGGAGGTGGATCTATCAGTCAGCTTTGACCAGAACTTCTGGTCCCAAACTTGTTTAAAAACTTTTAAAATGATCAGACACCCCAATTTACAATTAATTCAATACAAAATTCTGCACAGAGTACACTATACAGGTCATCAGATGTTCAAGATGGGGTTTGTATCATCTGACACCTGTACACACTGCACAAACAACATTGCTGACAATTACATTCACGCACTGTGGTCCTGTCCACCTGTCCAGGAATTTAGGGGTAGAGTATGTGAAGACCTGTGAAATGGGCCATTCCCATCTGTACCGGGTCGGCCCGGGCCGGGTAGCCCCAGTCGGCCCCAGCCTGGCCCGGTTGATTCCACACATCCTTGTCTTAAGCCCATGTGGGCTGATTCTACCCACCAATCAGAGGCTTGCTCTAATGGAAGGTGTGAATTTGCTGTCAGCAGTGGGTGTGTTGGCCCTGGTCGGCCTGAAGCAGACCCCCTCGAGAAGAGGGCTGAGAATGAGCCTTGGTTGGCCCGGAAGAATACCAGGACACCCAGATATGTAAATAACCTACGCTACCTGGCCCGGGCCGACCCGGTACAGATGGGAATGCTGCAATCGTCTCTGAAATGTCATATCCCAACCACCCCCTCTCTTTGTTTACTGGGAAACCTGGACGATGTCCCGATTGAAACATCTTTGGCTCACGTGGTTCTGACTGCCATATGCATCGCTAAGAAAACTATCCTCTTGAATTGAAAAAATAGAGATACTCTATGCATCAACCAGTATAGAAATATTTTGTTAGATCATATTACACTTGATTTAGCCTCTGCTTCCACTTCAGATCAATCTCTCTGGGCTCCTTTGATCGGTTCCATCACATAGCGATGACGGGGGACCATTGATATTGTCCTGCAGGATGATGTGGGTGAGGGGGTGGAGGGTCTGAGTTTGGAGTATCTGGACGTTCCCTGGAGGTGGGTTCACTGGGGGTGTCTGGGACTGGGGGGCCGTTGCCCCCCTCTGGAGGCGCTTGGGTTGCCACGGGGGGTGGACTACTGGCGGTTGTGAGTAGGGCCCCTTGGAGGTCTTGGCGGTGGCCATGGATTACTGCCCGGCAGCTGTATTGCCCGTGGACGGGTCTGGTTGGGGGCCTGGGGGCTCGGGGTGTGGGGGTGGCCGGCCCCGTGGGGGGATCTGGGCATGGTCTCGGGGGTCGGGTCCTGACATGTATGCTGCCGGGGAGAAGACAGGAACATGCAGCAGTGCCTGGCTCGGGTTCAGGGGCCTCAGGTAGACCTTGGCTCCTCTGCTGTCCCATCACAGGGGAGGGGGAAGACCAGGAGGGGGAGGACCCAACCTTACCTGGATGTCCTATGTCTTTTATAATCCGGAAGTTGTGCAAATGCAGGGATGGGCGTAGATATTCTGCTGGGGTGGGGCTGGGTTGGTGCCCTCGGACTCCGTGAGGCTCTGTGATGCTGCTGCTTTGGGCCCTGGCAGGATGGGCTCGGGTCTCCATGCTCTGGGTGTCATTTTTGACAACAGAGGTGCCTATTGGGGCCAGTGGGGGAGCTGGCTCCCTGGACGGCTAAGCCCAACCAGCCATTCCTCCCCATCCCCATACATTTCTCTAGGAGGGAGATCTGGCCGTCCGGTTGGGGTCTGGGGTGGGTTGCTGTGCTCAGCGTTGGGCGGGGGAGCCTGCTCATCAGCACCCCCAGCAGAAAGGGTCGAACTCAGGGAACTGATAATGGTTGTACCCCATGTGCAGCAGTACCGGGACCAGAGTGAATAGGGTGTGTATGGGGAGCATGAGTGGGTGTCCGGCGTGCATTTCTGTAAGTCTTTGGTTGTATGTGCATGTGTGAGCATGAGGGAGGGAGTGTGTGACCATGTTTGTGTATGACTGTATATATGTCAGGTGGGGCCTTTGACTCCTCCCTTCTCCTGGGACTTCTTTTGATGATATAGATCTTTGTCCCCCCTCTCCCTGCTACACCTGGTGTGGAGTGCGGTGCCTTGGTCTGCCTGGGTCGTGGCTCCTGGGTCAGGTAGTTTAAGATTTTTGGCATCTGCCTGATCAATCCCGGTGGCTGCCTGGTGGGGTCTGGGTCCCTGGGCTCTGCTGGGTCCCCAGCGGGGGTGGTCGCCCCTGGGTCCCGGGTCGCTGGGTCCCGGGCTCGGCCGGCTAGGGGGTAGGAGGCTGCGGGTGGGCCTGTGGGCTTGCCGCCGATATCCCCTGGGACTCTGCCGGCTGCTGGTTGTGGCCCCCCGGGGCAATCCTCTAAGCCTCTCGAGGGGGGCAGGGGCATTTTTGGTTGCAGTCTCCCTGGGTTTCCTGTGCTCTGGGGCAGCTCCTGGATCTCTGGGACATGGAGCTCCTTTCGTCTCCTGCACATCTTTAGGGGGGCAGATCTGTGGCCCCTCACACTCTCTATTGGACGCTCCTATAGAGAAACCTTACATAAAAAAGCACGTGTACACACACAGGTGCTCACATAAGTATGGACTTGGGCACGTTCAACACAGGTCTTAAGGCTGTGATGGACACTTAATGCACTGTGATTTATTATCGTGTGATTGTTCAGTTAAACAATGTTGATTATTTATTTCTTCATCAAGTTGACGCAGTGATAGCTTGATCTTGTTGTATTGTTGTTGTGTCCCTTTTTTTCTCTTCTCTTTTTCTGCAGGTCTAGAAGCACCTTTTGTCTCCGTGTCTGGTCAGAATTAAAAAGCATTCAAAAAACAATAACAATAAATGGTAAAATGGTAAATGGCCTGTATTTGATATGGCGCCTTCTAGAGTACTGGAACCCCTCAAGGTGCTTTACAACACAATCAGTAATTCACACATTCACACACTGGTGGGGATGAGCTACAATGTAGCCACAGCTGCCCTGGGGCGCACTGAGAGAGGCGAGGCTGCCGAGCACTGGCGCCACCAGTCCCTCCGACCACCACCAGCAGGCAACATGGGTTAAGTGTCTTGCCCAAGGACACAACGACAGCGACAGACTGAGTGGGGCTCAAACCTGCAACCTTCCGATTACAGGGCGAGCACTTAACTCCTGTGCCACGTCGTTTAAGTATCAGGCGTGACATTAAAAGCAGACGCTTTCATGCTCCACCTGAGAGTAAATCTGCAAGGCTTGTCACCAGCATTCAGACACCAATTCTGTTTGCTTCACAGCCAGACAGGACACGGAAAAAAACCCGTTTTTTTTGGGTCAATATGTCATAAATTTCACTCATAAGCACCCAGAATGTCCGCCTCTCATACGTCTCCAGTAAATAGACAGTGCCACCTTTTCCTCATCCCTGAGCCTGAACAGGCCCCTTTTGAATCAAGTGAGTTCAGATGCATCTGACAGCCACAACCATAGAGACATGCATCAAACAAGACAACTGAGAAAATACCTCATTTTATTATTTTCTATAATTAATAAGCAACGGTCACAGCAAATTAGGACAAAAGGAGGCTGAGGCCTCCCAGTGCTCTGCTATAGAACAGTCACCTATACTGGACGGCGCCACCAACCGTAACACCCACAGACCTTTTAAAATGAGACTTCACATAGTTTATTTAAGCTTTCTGGATGCAGATATGCCACTTAGAGTGAAAACAGGTGGAGAAATACTGTACATCCACCCAGAGTTTGGAGGTACATCAGCATGTAGGTGGAATAATGAGAGCAGAAACGTATAGCTCCTCCACTAGAAGCTAAACCAGCCCTGCCAAGAGCAGGGTGCCTGCTGAACAACCAAACAGGAGAGCACTTTACATTTCTGCTGTCTGCTGATGACATGTGCCTCTGAATTATGCAAAAGCCACACATTCTTGGCATTATTCTGTTTCCTTCTACATGAGATCTTTTTTCACCAACTTAACACCCAGATTAATTTAAACCATGTCAAAATTAATCATGTTTAGTTTCTTCAGGATCAATTAGAAAAGAGCTGATTGCTACCACCTAGTGGGAGAAAGCCTTCTTGCAGAAATTAAATGAGTGAAATCTGAGGACAAATTGGTGGAACAAAACTGGTAAAACTTACCCTCTCTAGGATGATCTCTTCATATTTATACATGCCATCACTGCCATTTACCTGTCAAAATAAAAAAAATAAACAATTAGTAATACCACTGTGCAAGAAAATCATGCCTTTTCTCTAAAATAACGTAAAAAAAGCCAAAATGTCAACTGTATAAAAATATATTTCTCTGTAAACAAAATAATGAGGGTGTGTTAGGAATATTTGGAAAAACTGAGAGGACAAACAATCACCACTTTGTGTAGTATCCTGCAAATATACATGGAAACACACAGACATGTTCATGCAGCAGAGGACGTGAGATTTGGCTGGATCCATACTGTACAGACAGCCAGAGCAGATACTTACATAAGGGCTTGCATCTAGTGAGTCTGCGTTGACAATGATGGGGGGAGGGTTGGCCTGTGAAAAGGAAGAGACAAACGTTAGATCAGCGTGTGAGGCTGCCTGCAGACGTAATAAACTACACACACGCTATTGTCTGCGAGCAGCGGATGCTATTAGAACAGTCGCAGAGTCTCTGTGGGGCTGAGAATGCGGGAAAGGATGAGCCGAGGTGGTGATGGGGGGCTGTGTTAGGAGGTGTGAGGACTGAGAATGAGGACTGGGGCTAAGAGACCGCTGCTTATTACCCGCCACAGCCAGACATCCTGCGGTCACCTCATAACACAAAGCAGCTTGGGTTTCAGCTGTTTATCCCACATCTACTTCCACTTTACACCGTGTAGCATCACACAGAAACCACACACACCAACGGTTTGGAAATCATTTGGTTTAAAAGATTTAAGTGACTAAATAAAATGGAAATGGAACTATTACAACACATCACCTCTAACTAAAACTGTTCTATTTCTGTTCCACTATTTAACACATGAACGTTCATTAAAGCTGTTAATCAAAAAAATTAAATTCCAACTTTTGTTCAGCTTTTATAATAATAATAATAATAATAATAATAATAATAATAATAATAATAATAATAATAATAATAATAATAGAATGTGTCACTATGCACGAGTACAATGAGATTACAATGCAGCTCCTCTGGAACAGACAAACACCTAGTAAACAATAAATAAACAAATAGTGTAAAAAGTAATATTATATACAGATGGGAAGGTGACGATGATGATGATAATAATACAAATAATAATAAACAACAGCTCACATCTTTTGTAGGACTCGTGTTCATTATAAATTGTTCTAACCAACTGTTTAATGATGGTAATAACATGTTTATTTTCTGGTTTAAAAAGATAAAACAGTAAAGTTCCTGCTTAAACAGTCATCAGTCTCATTTCAACAACTGTTACTGGATGTGCAACAATTTATGTATGTAGAGTTAGATTTCATTTTTAGGTGTAACTCAGATGAATTCCTACTTTAATGTTTAGGAAGTTAGACTTTCCAGAATGTGTCGATTGCCTAACTTTAATAAAAAGATCCCAGTGGATCAAGCTAGTCTCTAAAGACCAATAAAGATCTGAACTCTCATTTAAATCTCTTCCCTGTCAGTAATGAAAATAAAGTTGGTAAAACATGAACACAAACAAGTCTGTTTTAAAATAAAACATGCACAAAATTAAATACCTGTACAAAAAAGTAAGCTCTTCGTGTCAACTTTCACCAAACAATGAACCTCCACCTGGGCTCTATTGTGCCACCTGGTGTCTGTTCCCACCGCAGGATGACCCAGTAGTGAAAGCAGTCTGAGAAACTCCATTGTTTAGGAGCAACCTGATGACCTTTAGCTCCTTTAGCATCTATACCATTCAAGATTTCATTTAGTGCTGTTGTTAATATGATTACAAACTCACTCATGGAAAACATACTGCTGAAAGTCCAACAAAATACACAGAAAAATCATTTAATTGCTTAGTTGCCATAAAAAGAAGCAGTCCCACTTGCTTCCATTACAAAAGGTATTAATGGGTACCAATAGGACAAAACCTAATACTCATGCCATTAATATTAAATAGAACACTAAAGCTGCTTTAGGTTGAGCTTCCTCTATAAACTCCTCCTCACTAAAGATGCTACAGTGAGGAGGTTGAATCCAGCAGCACCTCTGCTCCTTCTCAGAAGATTTGACCCTCTGACGAAAAGCTGCTGGCATTATGTCTATCATTCCTCCAACCTTTCACACTTCACAGCGCAGAGTTTCTTGCTAATGAAATTTGTCTTCTGTATGAATGGGAGGGGAGTAAATTTGACCTGCTGCACTCAGCTGAGATCTGAAATGACTCTGGACAGCTGTGGAGGTTCCCGTCCCAGGTCAGCACAACCCAGCCTCCGCTGCAATCTGCATATGGAAAAACAGATGCTTGCGTCTTGGCATGTGTTTGCACGTTTTTACTGAAAACCTCATCTACTACCCCTAAAATCCCAAAGAGATTTTCACAGTGAATGTGTCTGTAGTATGGAAGAACTGCAGTTGTGTTGGTGCCAGTTGTTTTTTTTTTAATGAGAACCATGAAACCACGTTGATACAGAGAAGATGAGAGAATGCCTCAGGGCTACATGGGGAAATACACTGGCCACTGTTGTCCCTGGATGACTGACAGACTAAGCCATTGAGTCCATTACAGAGACTACATATGACAAAACACACTTTTGCAGTCAGATGCCTGCAGTGCTTATTCTAACAATCACAGAGGACCAGTGTGACCCTGCGGGATCCCCGAACCTGCATGCAGACGCATTAAAGCAACCTGGGTCGGCTGCTTAATCCCACTACCCAAATCTCATGTAACATGCAGACAAAGAGGAATAACACACGATAATCTCAACATGAGTAATCACTACATGAGTTTGATTAAACATTAGGCTGTGTTAAGGTATCTTGGATTAGGCAGGACTACACCTCCCCCACTGCCCTCACCTCTCTGCTAATCTCATAAACAGCTAAAAGAAAGCTGATTGAGGACCACGACAGCTGACTAGTTTACTGTAACTCACAGCTGAAGCTGTGTTGTTACGGTCCAGCTGGCGTCCACTATCTGCATCATACCACAGCAGAATAGACAGAAAGTCCAAAAGAGAATCAGAATGTCTGCAGTGTGTTTCGGGTGAATGTGGGTCCGATAATAATGAAATTATGGTTGTGAGCGATTAATCATGTGAGGATTTTAAATTACTATTTAAATATCGACCATTACCACATTTTTTTAAATCAAAACTGAGTTTGTATAACATGGTCCCTTCATGTGTTAAAATACCTTAGATGAAGCTTTCTTTTGCTAAAATATGTTCATAACTATCCAAGTAAATATTAATTCTGGCTACAACACACAGAGCTCGGTTGTCTTTCAAACTGTTTCGGCACGCAATTGGACAGCAGTAGGACCAATCAAAGCACCGAACAATGGGACTTATCTCTACGGATATCAGTCAATGGGGCAGTCTGCCTCACTCTGCTGTAGAAGAAGCAAGTTCATCTTTTAGAAATAAAGTACCTCTATCTGCTCATGCCTTAAAGAAAATCCCAAGTCTAAATAGCCCAAAGCTGATGTCAAAGCGTTTCAAAACAAGTGCTGTACCTGAGCCGCAGCCATCTTTGTAGTTTTTCTCCATTGCAGCTCTGGTGCTAAGCCTGCCCAACATCTCTCTACAAACAGAGTGCTGTGATAGGCTGGACCTAAAATTGTTCAGGGCAATGGTAGACCTGCTGAGGTTACACTGGAGCGTGCTAGACCGACATGCAGAGAAAAATCCTTTGCTAATCCTACAGTTTGTCAAAATTTCTAGTCGAGGCTGTTTTTTAAGTTACCCAAAGGAAGGTTGGAATGCACATTGTGGTTTGTAAAACACAAAGTGTGAGAAATTTTGGTTACTCAGGAAATGCAACTAAATGTACAAATTACTGTTAATAAACATAAAATTAATTATGGACACAAGACATTTAACACAACAGTGATAAATTGGTGAAATAGTGAGTTAATTAAGACTGTTGTGTTGTTACATTCTTATTTAGTTCTGCTTGTAATTGCATGTTTTTGAACCTAAGACAGTAGGAGTAACACATCTCTGCTGGGATTAATTTGTGGGTCAGAAGCTTAAATGTTAGAGAACCACAGTCCAAGACGACTTATATAATCACTCTTTCTTGTTGAAACAGCAGTTGCCCACTGGCTGACCATCCAAGAATGCAGGTTTGAGGGCACTTTTCACACTATCCATCTAGTCTGCTACTTCTACATTACTAGCTCCTATAAAACTTGCTCCAACATGCGTGTTAAATTAAATGTTCCCTTTTCATGCAGTATTTTAAAAAACATGGTGATTTGAGTCTGCTTTAAGGGGAGATGTTGCAATGTAGAAACAGAAATGCTTTATCTCATCATATTCATGAACTCACCTTAAACGTGTTTTAAGGTGGAAACAAGGCCCACAAAAACTGTCCTCAAAGTAATAGCCAGAATCTGGAAATGCATATTATATATATCACAATACATGGGAGACAACACAATATATTGGCGTATCAAAAGCCAGACTTTTTGCATTAGTTATGACTGAATTTGATTTGAAAATACTTCTAAGACACATCCAGTGGTATCGCAAGACCTTGTTGTTACGTCAACAAGCGGCCGTAGTTAGAATTGCACCACACAAAAGACAGAGTAAATGTTTGTATGTAAATTGCCCCCAAAAAACTATACACTGCTTTAAAATATCGATTCAGTATCATAACACAAAATATTGTGATATTTCAGTGTAACGACGTTTTCTTCCATCCCTAACCCCAAAATTCCACTATCTCCGCTCATCCCCCGATCTCCGCTGCCGCTCGCTTCCGAACTCAAATTATACTGTACCCGCTCTACAATGGCTCTAGCCTGGCAAGCCAGACTAAATAAATGTATTATTTAGTCTGGCCATGCTCCATTGACGGCTCTCGGTTGTGGGGTGGGTTCTACCGTTGTCTTTCAAATGATCTCTGCATTCCACTGGACAATGAATGTGACATACTCTTGTTTCACTCTGTTGCATCATCCCACCCACCAGGCATATAGAGTGCCCTGATTGGCCCACAAAGCGGATAAAGCTCTGTGATTTGTTCACTAAGCAGATAGAGCACTATGATTGGCCCACCATTATGGACCAATCACAGCTCTTTATGTGTTTGAAACCCCTCTAGAGAGCTGTGATTGGCCAGCCAGAGTCCTGGTAGGAGCTGCTGAGGTTCCAATGGAGCATGCCTAGACCATTCTTTGCAAAGCAAGAATTTGGTCTAGTTCACTAGGCTACAATGGCTCCGCTCCGATGCGGAGACCTGAGTTGCGTAAACAGGCATGCGCGGGATTTTCGAGATCTTGCGATACAGTCCGAGCAATAAACGCGGAAGTTAGATCCAAACACCCGTTGTGTGGGAGAAGCATCGAAATGAACTGTTTAATCTGCCT